TGTTTGAAATGACGGTTCAAGTTAAATTTTTTTGGAACTGCTATACAAATTCCACACATCAAACAAACAGGCTTGGAAGCATTGTGATGTGTAAACAAGTATTGTTCTTCCCAGACAATTTTAAAATCACGTGCTGCAATATCCTCTTCATAATTTCTTTTCAATGTCGAAGGTTTACTCATAAACATATTGAAAATTAAAAATTTTTAAGCAAATGCGCTCAACGCTAAAATCTAAAAACAATTTTAGAAAAGGAAAAAAGCTTAACGTCTTGCTAAACAGAGTTTAAAATCAATTGAGTCTGACAGCTAGAAACAATTTGCCGATGTTACGCTACGAATTTTCTAGGCTGCGAGTCCAGCATTCTGATTAGTCATGGATGCAAGTTCTCACTCCCTCTGCTTTATAAAACGGCTACTTTGTGCAGATAGAAATACTTCTACCGTATCAACAACTGCTCTCCTAATATATTGCCGAATTAGTTCTTGACATTAGAGAAATCGTAAATAGCCAACACCTTCAGAAAAACCTTTTTATCTGACATCACGCTGAAAACTATAAACACAGAGCTTCAGCACTGCAAGAGGAAGCAGAAATTCGAATAGAAATCCGAGATGTTAAAAATTAACCACCCCCGAGAGAGTGTGACTTTTGGGCAGATTTGACCGTCCGAGAGAGAAAGAGAATTTATTTGTTTTTAGTCTCACGTTACTCAACACTTTTCTCGGGACGTTACAATGCTGTGGAGTTGTAAGTTTTGGAGCATGATCTCATTTTTGGCGCTATACTGAACAAAAGAAAAAATCTTGCTTAGCGCTTTTAATATATCGCGCTGAAAATTTCTGTTACTTACATATTGTCTTCATGATAATTTTTTATTGTAATTCAATTAATTCAGTAATATTTCCATAAAATTTTTGAAATTTTTCAATAAGTCTTCGCGTGCCACAGATAAGACTCCCGCGTGCCACAATGTAGCACGCGTGCCGCGGGTTGGCCACCCCTGCTCTACAGCAACGGGTGGATGTTTGAGCCTCGACATACCGTATATACTCGAATCTAAGCTGCACTATTTTTCCATTGTTAATGCTTTTGAAAATCCGGTGCAGCTCAGAATCGAAAGTAAAACATTTGATGGATGGGGAAAATTCCCACCCCTTTTAAAAAGAAAATGTGACCGTCCATTCTGTCCCCTTGCATTGATAACATCCCATTCCGCATTTTATTTCCAGTATTCAGTCTCTCCTAAACATTGCAGTCTGCTCGTATTTAGGAAATTCTTTTGTATACGCTTAAGCGATATCGGTAATAGCATCAAGACAAGTTCACGATGACTTAATTGTGAAAAGGACGGCAATTTTATTTGAAGAAAAAAAACGGAGACAGAGCAGCGGTCACACATTGAAAATTTGACACGGTTTAAACAAATATACGTCGATGGCGTAAGCAAAATGGTATAATTTTTGCTTGAAAATGTTCAATAGTCTTTAATACTTTCTGTAATAATTTTTTTTAAATTCGCATAACAAATGCATTGTATGGCACGGAAGACGACGCCATGTGGGAAAATAGCGATGCCGGCACCAATTCCGAAATCAGCAGTGACAACGGGAGTGACGAATCATTTTTGAAACATGATACTGACGGTTAGAGTAATTACAGGTTCATGTATGTATTTGAAAGTTTTTAATACTGATAAAATAAATAAATTATTAACTTATCATTTTTCATTAATTTTTTTTAATTTCTTAAGTATTGGTTATTGATGAACCTTTTACACAATTTTTTATTCTTCTCAAAAACGTGTTGAGAATTGGAGGTTGGGATGAGACTTAGAATCGATGGCAGCTTAGGTTTGAGGAAGTACGGTATTTAACGTGCATCGGCCCCTCTGCATGGTTGATCTTCAGCGGTACAAGGCTCGAACTCATGACACACCGACCACGAGTCCGTTACCTTTGTGATGGTTCTATCCGCTCTCCGCAAACTAATAATCCTCTTGGAGAATTTCTGGTCTTAAAAAAATTATTTTATTATAAAACTCTTCTTCAAAGAAGAAGACGTGATTATGTAAATTAAGACTACTATATATATTCTAGGCTTTTAGGTTAGACAGAGAGAAAGAATAGACTGCTAGCAGAACAGAGATTAATCAAATTTAATATGAATCGTGGATATTTAATATTTGATAATTGAATTACTTAAGGTGACGAATTGTCACTGGTGATTGAATCTAAATTAAATAGTTAAGAAGTCAGAGCTATATTACCTTGAGCGAGTGTGTTTAGTGTATTAAAGTCTTCTCATATCTCGCGTACCTCGTTAATTGTCTGCATAGTTATTAATTGGGTGCATATTTTAGCATTGATCGATTGCATTTGAGTTGTGGTTAATATTGTGAATAAATTAGATTGTTTCTTGAAATATGGCTAGTCTTCCTTCCAAACCTCCCACATCCTTAGGCGCGCAAGCATGACCCTTACACCTTGACCACTAGGTTACCGCGCGGCCGGCCACTATATAGAAAGATCTACCTTTATATAGCTTTGATTGTAGTGTTCCACAGCATAAAAATTTTGAAAATCTTTACTCAAGACAGTGGTGTAACGTACACCCACGCATCGCTGGAAGGGCCCAGGATTCTAGGAGTCCTAAAGTCTAACTGACACCAAATATGTATTTAACCTATTTTTATGAATAGGCAAATTAGGCATATTACTCGTAAATAGGCATATTATAGGCAAAACCTGTCTTTGCAGGGGGTTCTTAATATTCTCTATTATACCACTGACTCGAGATACACAAAAACTATTAGTAAAGAAAAAAAACCTCATAACTTTGAGCTACTATCTGACGATGAGATCAACTTTCAAGCTGGAACTAACTTTAACACCGCACAATTTGAAACCTTATAAGTGTGTTTAATTTAACGAGCTGCAGTTCTTATTATTTCGCGATTCACGAGGTATTACAGTACTTGAAGATTAAAATGTTTAAAAAAACAGAATTCCTTTGCTTTCTGGAATATATATATATTGTGTGTGTGGTGTAAAAAGAAATTATTTTTTGACAGATGGAATCTGCTTAAAAATACAAAAAAGAAGTAAAGATATACTTTTTCATTTAATAACGATACGGAATTCCGAAACGAAAGCAGAAACATCGTAAATCGTACCATCCAAGAAACAATTCGGTCCATTTTGAACTAAAAACAACGGTCTTTCTCATAAAAAACAACAGAAGCTGTCAGTAAAAATATAATAGCATCCACTTCTCCTTAAAAGCTACTGTCATAACGTTTCATCCGAACTTCTCTAAGGGAAAACATTTACTCTCCTTCAAACTAAGGAGAAAGACAGGGATTCTCTGAAGTAGATTTTTAGTGGGTTTCCACATGGCTCCTCTTCTCCACACAAGTGCTTCGAGTACTTTCGAAGAAGAGGAAAACCAAAACTAATCCTGGAGCTATAAATACTGTAAAGAGACATCTTCCGCTTCAGGCAAGATTTAGCGCGTATAATAATCCTTCAGCTTATTTTAAGTAGAAATAAAAAGAAAATGTTCCTCACACAACGTTCGAAAAAGGCTGGAACAATTAACTTTGGGGTAAAAAGAATGATTAACCAGGATCAAGACAGCGATCATTTAGGAATAAATTGGGTGAATACAAATAAAAAGCGTGATTTACTTGACAAAAATACTCCCTTTATTTTCATATTGAAAAAATCTTGACTTAATTATTTAATAAAAAAAAAAAAAGATGAGTATACGTATTTCAGTACATGAGCCGAGAACTTTCTGAACTTTTTCAAAGTTAATATAAGGGGGTCGGCTTTTTTTCACGGATCCGCCGATTTCGGGGGAAATGTCATTTAGAGAAAAACGATATTTATTTTTGTAAATTACTTTTTAGCGTTTTTCAACAATCGTGCTCAAGCAATCCTAATCTTTTAAATGGAATTATCTTGAATGGAACTTTTATCCTAAAAGGAGAAAAAAAGAGTCACATGAATCCTTCAAAATAAGTATTAGAATCTGAGTATTCGAATAATTTTTAGATTAAATGTCTGAATACCTATGTTTATCATGAGGCGAGTTTCCTTTCGAGGCATTAAGCATAGGTCGACGATCACTTGCCGTATACTTATTCCTCTTCCCGCTCATTCTCCGAAGCAAAAAATTGCACAGAAGGTAAGACTAGCACAGATAGTCTACAAGATAACAAAATAGAGGGGAAAATGTGTTAGTTTCAGATAAATTTATCAAAAATAAAACTATCTTCGTTGACTTCTTAGTTTACAGTAATTTGATTGAAAAGTATCCCATCCGTTTTATCCACGAGTAAGATTTTCCCCTTCATGGCGATTTATTTGAAAATGATAGAAATGTGGGGGTTTTCTTCAATTCAACTGATATATAGGTTTCGAATTTTGGGTAAATTTTTGAAGAAAAAACTCATCCTTGGCTTTACTTATGCTCATACACGGATTGGTTTTTATTCAAAAATACACGGTATTTCTTCATGTTTTTTTTCTATAATTGGGGCTGCGCACGCATTATCATCATCTATTATAACGGATTCCTCCGATGATACAGTAGGACAGTCCAATAATACAGAACCTTTCTCAATGTTTTGCTAATTTTGTTCCTTCCCAGAAAAACAATCTTTTCGTGTTAAGCGATTTTCGTTTCGTGTTAAGAGAAAAACAGTAATATAAAAAAGATTTGAGTCAATTCCTACTTAGGTCAACAAAGAAGAATTTTATTTTAGAAATTTTTTATTAAACAGTTACAATAAATATATATATACATATGACAGAATCACAATATTAATTAACAAAACCAGAAAGCGATTTTCCTTGCAGTTTTCCCCTTTCCTTTCTATATATATGGTGTTGGACTATTTTTTTGTTTTTGTTACTATTTATTAATTAATTAAATTTAATTATTCTAATAAAATAGTATAGTAGAAAAACGAAGCCACTTTCACAGAAATTAACCATCCCAGGTGGGATTCGAATCCACGACCTATGGAGTAGAAGTTCAACGCGCTATCCAATACGCTACAGGAACACAACGAATGATTTTCCTTTCTATATATGCTGTTGGACTTTTATTTTTGTTTGTTACTATTTTTTCATTTTTTTTATTTAGTTAATGAATTAATATTTGAAAAAAACTGTAATAACATCAAGTGTCATAAACTAAAAGTTCAAAAAAATGTATTGGAAATTGAATGGATGAATAGAAAGTATTTTATTAACGATTGAAATTTGAACAAAAGATATATATATATATATGTATAGGGAGAGAGTGAACTATTAGTAGGAATTGAAAAATGCATGAAAATACATAGTAGTTTGTCAGGACCGTTGTATTACTTAGTGTTAACCGATATTTCGTGTTAAGCGTTTTCGCATTAAACTTATTTCACTGTATTTTGTAAACGATATTTGATGGAAACTGAATTTGAACCCATATATGTTGATGACGGAGCTGGTAGTCGTATCTTAGTTATACCCTCTCTAAGAATTTAAAATAACCGTTTAAAAAGTAACTTTATTTCCCATCAAGAAATTCTTGTATTCGTTTACTATTTACCTTTAAAATAATATCACATAACATCAACTGTAATTAAAATTCAAGAAAATCTTAAATATATTGAAGAATTTCTATGTTTATATAACTCTCTACTCTCTAATAATAACAGATTATCATCCCTATAAATTTGGCGAATTTTTCTTGTAAAATCCAGTAACCCCTTGAAGGATTTTTAAACCACAGTACACAATGATAGAAACTTAGTTAGAGAGTAATACTTTTTAACTATTCATATTCCGATAATGCGAATAATGCATTCTGATAATGCGAAACCGAACTCTGGAATTTATTTTGCTGCGAGTACCGAGCGAAACAGGCACTTAAAGGATCTTTTACGTGCCGCATAATTATACAACATGAACGCTGTCCATTTTCTGCATCATGAAAATCCACCGACTTGAGCCGAGCTTGAAAGTGTTGGTTCGCGTTATACTCCGGGTTTTACGGTGTATAATGTAAGAAAGTGGGTATTGACTTTTTGTTTCAGTATATTACGAGTAGAAAGACGCAATTAAGTTTTAATCAAGAACACATGAAATTCTTTTTCCCTATTCTGTATTTTATTTTTAAAACATATGTAAGCCAGATACTTTAATTGCATCCTTATATCAAAATTAGTTTACTTTGAGCTACATTTTTAATTTCTCTCACCAGTGGAAAATATAAGTCATCGCTAGAAAAAAAACTCTTAAAAAAATTATTCGAAATATTGATTAGTCGGTTTAAAAAAAATGAAATCAATACAAATTTAAGAGAGCATCGATAAAGATCTTGATTCTTATCGAAATTCAGAGAGAGAAAAAGTGAACCACTAAAAAATATAGATCCGCAATGCAGGATGGTGGTGTAATACATTTCATTGAGATTAGTGAATTTATTAGATTTATTGAGTTTTTTGCTGGTAGGGAATTACAAGGAAAATCTCCACAGGTTTTAATCACTGGAGGCGGTTTGGGATTTGGTTCGATTTCTTTTTATTTAAAAGCGGTGTTGTTTTTCTAATACGTTTCTTGTATCTTTCCCATGCGCGATCAAAGGTTCGTCTTGCATTTTTCACTATTAAGGTATGCGACTACCCTAAAATTGTGAATTTTGCCAAAGAATGACAATTTTTTATGATTTTATTATATAGGTCATCTTATTAGCTTTATAAAAATACCAAGTTTATTATTTTCCGTTCACTAGAACAAAAACTACAATCGTTTTAGAAAAAGCAGATGCCATTACTTTAAGCAAGATGTCATACCTTAAAATGCGTTTTACTCGAAATGTGTGTTTTTTTTTAGAAGACTCAAACGGGGACAGAGCGATTGCTAAAAATTTTTGAAAATAATTAACTGAAACTTTTTGGGTTTGTTCTGTATAATAGTAGAAGTGTTCTAACCTTCAGATTTATCAAACACTGTTTTACTACAAAATTTACAGAATTATTAATTCAATTGGAATATAATCACTGTTTTTTAAACAATTTCATATAATAACTGAGATAAAGTGCTCTAGTTTTTGTAAAAATTAAAATATCTCTTATCCTAAAGTTCATTTAAAAAATGAATAACATAGCAACACATCGGAATTGAAAAATTGAAAATATGTTTATAAACTTTTGATACAGAATGGGTCATGTTTATGTTATCTTTTGTCAATTTTTACCCATTTTTTCCCATTTTAGTAATAATAATTTATTTTTCTTGTCTTAATTTTAGCATGTTTTTCTTAAAATGTACTAAACAAATCTAAAACCAACATAAAATCCTTATATCTCCGATTTTTTTTAAAAGTTGTCGCAAGTAGTCGGACGCCTTATTTTTTTTTTTTTTTATTCAATAGAATTTTTAAAACTTTTTCTGATTGTTTTGTATTTGTTTGATGATATGCTTATTTATTTATTTTTATAGTGTCGACACGAAAAAAATTGTAAAAATAAAAGTATACCACTTCTAATAATAATAAAAAAAGAAATTGTTGAAAAAAAATTTATAACCCCTTATGTGAATATAATCACTGTTTTTTTAAGCAATTTCATATAATAACAAAGATAAAGCTCTCTAGTTTTTATAAAAATTAAAATATCTCTTATCCTGAAGGTCATTTCAAAAGAGAACAACATAACAACACATCAGAATTGAAAAAATGAAATTTTGTTCATAAACTTTTGGTACAGAGTGGGTCGCGTTTATGTTATTTTTTGTAAATTTTTACCCATTTTAGTAATAATAATTTCTTTTTCTCTTCTTAATTTTAGCATATTTTTCTTAAAATGTACTAAACAAATCTAAAAGCAATAAAAAATCCCCACATCTCCCTTTTTTCCTTAAAAAAAAAAGCTACCGCAAGTAGTCAGATACTTTAAGAAAACAGATTTTTTTTTATTATTAGGGAAACAAAGAACCTGAAAGTATTTTTACAAAGAGATTGATTATCTGCAGGGAATGAAGGACAAGGTCACAACATCTCTGGATTTTTAAAAAATTTAGTTTGAATTCAGTTTTTCTGTTACCCTATTACTGCTGATATTTATACAGCACCTGAGGAGTTACAGCTTGAACTTATTGACTTCCAGTCAGATCACAGACTGAAGGAAATATTTTATGCTAGGATATTAACCGCTTGCTTAATTATCCCGAGTTATCTCGTGTTCATATATATTTCAGTTAATTATTATCCCGAGAAAATTCGGGGAAAGCAGAATTTGTCAGTATGTTTACTAGCCCCGTAGGAACTCGGTTTTACTCGGCCTGTAGGAAATGAAATGAAATATTCATCTTTGATTAGCATTTTGTCAAGTTTTGCTGGTTTCGCGGTTCTTTTGGCGGGACTGGTCATGTATTTTCCCTATTGTATAGTATATGTCGGCTTCTCTGGATTATTAATGTATAAAGAAGGATAGTTACGTTGGAAAAAAAAGTAAAATAATAGTGATGATGCAAGATAGCGAAAGCGATTATTTTTCAGTTAGTGATTATGAAGGCGTGGACATTGAAAATAGTGGAATTGATTCTTCTGTTTGTAGTCTTATCGAAAACGATTGTAACCTTATTGAAACAATGCACCCGTAAAAGAGATTCCAGGGGTAAGCCAGCGTCAGCAAGAAAATTGACCGGATAACCAGTGTAACAGAATGGCAGGTATCCCTTTGTCTTGTCCCTTGTTTCAAAAACTATCTACAAAGACTAATATTTAACTATTTTCCATTTGCCCGAGATAACTCGGAATAGTAAACTAATAGGAAAGCTAAATGCTTTTACACCTGTAAAATATTAAAAATTCAACTTAAAACCTATATGTTTTGTTTTGTTTCATTTCCTTGTTTCTAATAATAAAATTTAAAAAAATTGATGATATTTTGCAATTTTTTTCAAAAAAGTTGGTAAGGGAAGCGGTTGATCGACTTTTACATATGTTTGTCAGCTGAAAAATTTCCAGGGAAATTGATCTTTATGTTTTAGTCGACAAATTTTGTGAGCAAAGTTTTTCTTGCATGGAGATCAGCAAGAGTAAATATAGAAGCAAGTTGGCTGAATAAACTTGCAGGCTATGATGAGAATTTCAACAATTAATCCCGCTCTTGATTTTAAGAAAATGGTAGAAAAGTGTGACACTCACATACACAGGGTACATTTGCCCCATTTAACTGAATCTAAAATTAAATGTGCTTGGAGCTGTAGATAATATTAAATCAACACAGTAAATAAATTGAATAAAACTTTGTCTCTATTTTATTTGATTTAGATTTATTATTTTTTAATAATGAATACAATCATTGTAAAAAGGGGTGGCCTTCCGGTATCATCCGATCGCACAATTTGGTCCGCGAGCTAAAACGAGTTGCCAACCCCTGCTTCAGTCTTGGGACGGATCTGTACGTGACCTTCTTATTAATCCTCTTGGGGAAACTTTGGGGCTATCATTCGCGTTAATTCGCAGCCATCCCTCAGGAAGAAACTCTAATATGGAGATTAGTTTGACTATAACCTCGTAAAGTCAAGGTTTTGTAATTGTAAGGGAGAAGGAGCAGAGGAACTGTTGTGGAGATAGATAGGTGAGATTTAATTCATTATCACAACTTGAGTAAGAAAGGAATTTGTCACAATTAGTGGATCGAGAACTGATAATCTAAGATAGATTAAATAAAATTAAATTAAAAAGATTACTTGCGCTTGTTTACTTAGAGTAGATTGCTTTCTTTGTATCACTCCTAGGGTCTCCTCTTGTAATTTCACTTGTGGTTGATTAGTGTGTTTGAATAGTAATAAAATAATAATTATTATGGAAGTTTCTGGTAATGCTTTGTCCCCCCCCCCACCACACACCCTTAGGTAGGCAGGACGGTGAAGGAGCGGCTTCAAATAGAAGTCGCTCACAGTCTCACCTTCAATAGCTCACATTCAACTGTTTTTCTTAACCTTAAAAGTTTTGATAGCATATTCCATTTCAGTGAAAGCTTTAGTATACTTATTTATAAGGTTGACCAA